GGAGACGGTGGTTATAAAAGTTCTTAAACAGAGGAGTGAGAATAAAGCTAGACCAATGAAAACGTAAACGACTGTAGGAGAAGGCCAATTAGCAGCTATGGCTATGTGTAATACTCTGGGTGCGGCCTACCAGCCTAACGTGATAGCTGTGAGAATAAAAAGATCACACAGAAAAAAATAAAAATTAAAGAAATGTCAACACTCATTTCTAATTCATTGGTTGTACATTGAGCAAAGTAGAAATAATCAGAATGTAATATGAAATGAAGGTTTCAAGTCTGAGGGAAAAAACAAGCAATGAGAAAGGTAACCCCGTTTTGGGTTAAGACTCATTGATTTCAATTGGTCAAGTACCCAAGTAGAAATTGGGAGAGACGTTAAAGTGGGAGACACAAACTTCCTTAAATCTTCCATTTTCACTAGTATTAAATCAGAGCTCCCAACTGTGTCCAAGTATGCCATAATTATAACTGTAATCTTGCCCATAGGTTTCTATAACATTCTTTGAAACTAGCCAAATTTGTAGTCAAAACCACTGAGAAAAGATCTTAAAATACATTTCACTGCAAAAACAGATATTTGCATTCAAGTAAAAGTAAAAGATAACATGAGTAGGCACCTCCTTGTGACAAATAAGATGGAGCGGGAGGACCCTCACAGAAAGTTTTCTCTATACTTTCTTCTCCCTCTGAAGAAAATGCCAGTCCCTAACTGTCTAGATAGATTTTCTGCATCATTTCACATACGTACTTTTCCCAGAAACAGTCACCAAAAAAAACATGCCCCCTGATGCTTATCTTCAAGTTTTACCTGAAGCACATTTTTACAGCCAATTTTCAAATTCCTAAAATCAAATGGAAATACTGATATGATCATAGATGGAAACTCTAATCTGACTAATACAAGTATTTTGTAAGGGTCAGTTTTAGCACATAAGCTACACAAATATCTACTGGCCTTACGTCATTCTTAAGTTAACTCAGATTCACATTATCTACATTTAAAAGTATTATTTCCCTTCTTATAGAGTTAATCAGTCTTTAGCATTAACTTGCTTTTCAGGAAGGATTCTTATTTTGGGCTTAAGAAATTACATGTTGACACATTAACGTTGGTGGGGTTTTTAAAGATATGTTCGTATTTGGCCCACAATTTATTTGCTTATCTCCCATTCTCAAGTATTTTATCCTAATAAAAGGGTCAAGGTAAACTGTATAACACAACACCAGAAATGACCTTTTGTATCTAGCTAAGGGAGAGTAGCTTAGATTAGCTTTGAGTAAAGACAAAGTAAAGACTTTACAATGTAGGCCCAATCTCCTGAGCCAGGCTATTTTGGGTATCCAAGTACTTGTCTGACTGTGTAAGGTGAAGACTCCACATTACCAACATAATTCACTAATAGAAAACCAAGATACATCTTAATATAAAATAATATACCACCAAGGATTCCAAACACAATCCACTTATTTTTTAGAAAAATTATTTAATCTGACTGACTTCACTTGAAGGTTTGTTTCACTTCAGGTCAGAGCCACTGAGACATTGGAGATCTGTGTGACTGTAGTATTACAAAGCAACTGAATCATGATCCCTATTATTTTCCCATGATACACTTCTGATGTGTTTTTCATGTGCTTAATATATTAGAAAACTCCCCATACATTTATAAGGGCACCAAAATCTAGTCAACAGATATCATTCATTTAAACATTTTATAAATCCAGAAAAGACTTTCCAAAGTGCTCATCTGGTTGTCTGAAATGCAAAGCCTTATCTTGAATAACTACATGCCTTTCAAGGGAACATGGGAAACAAGCCTTTGGAAGCATCCTTAGAAACAAGAAGGTAAATATGCCAACTGGAACTAATTGATTAAATTCACTAGTTAACACTGCTTTCAAAATGCATAATATCTGGGAACTGAATATTACTCATCCTTTTTTAGATCTGCTTTTCTTCAGTCTGGCCGACATTGCCCTCAAAATATCAACTAAGAATAGGTATGTGGAAATGGGGAAGAAAAAATATATGTACTTTACTGGGGTTATCCACCCTAGGCTTTTTTTTAATTAGAACTCATTTGATATCTTTTGTGAAGCAAAAAAATAAGGATGTCAAGGGCCCCTTTAAATGATCTTTTAGGGAAATAAATGGTTGTGGGCAATATTGATGAGGGTTTCCTTACAACAGAGCACCAACTCTGAGCTGTGAAATATGAGAAAGCATTCAACATATAAATAAAACATCTCTTGCCTCCTCCCCAAGTATTACGGAGCTCAAATTTATTTTATACTCCAAGTTAATGGAAGGCAGGAAACAAACATATTTCAAGCACACCCTATAAAAAAAAAGTTCTACAGTGAACTATCACCACACGCAAAAAGAGTTCTGTATAACAAAGCTATTTCCATGTCCCCAGGGGGTGACCCAGAAAAAAAGAGTGCTTTGACCTGGTTATAACAAATTCTCTCTCTCTTGGTAACCTATCCTGGTCTTTAACAAATTATCACTCTCAAAGGTTTTCCTTCTATCAAATCTAAATGCTCACTGTTAGAAGTTCAAGTTCATTTCCTTCTTTTGAGGAGCCAATTACTGAAGATGGGTCAAGAAGGAAAAATTAATGTCAGCATTCAAAAGAAATGACCATATGAAACTAGGTTTATTATGAGATTTTTAAAAAATAGCTCTAGTACGAAAGGCTTAAAAACAGCAAATTATATTTGGATAAGAGACTTCTTATCTAAACAGCAATCCAATCTCAATTTAAAACTGAAGTAAAGTATTCTCACCATTTGGAGCTGCTGGTAATGAAGGAAATACTTCGCACTTAGGTCTGACATATTAAAAGGTCATGAAAAGCTGTATTTCCATTGTCCTCCTAGAACCTGCTTGAAAAACTTGCAAAGCAAACTGAACATTATATAAATTCCAAGCAGATCTGCCTATTTATCCATATCATGAATCAGGCCCAACTCTCACTGTATTCAGTTTGTCTAAATGTTGTTGTGGCCCCCATCAATGACCTACAAGAGTCCCCTGTGACCCTGTAGGCTGCAGTTACCTCCATTAAAACCTTCAAACCAATGACTCAAAGCTCAAAAGAAATCCACGTTTCCAAGGACTTCCCAAAGGCAATGAGAATGGCTTGAAGCTGTTGATTATTTGTTCTTACATTTTTTAAGCTTTCCTTCCTGCAATTCTATTGCTCACTTTTAACCCTGTTTCCTATTTCTCTCCATTTCTCGTCTACCAACACCCTATTCCCTAGCAAGAGAGATTAGTTTTTTATTCCTGATCTCTCCCTGCCTCTTTTCTCTTTCCGTAGTGGGCTTCTAGTCAGTTTTACTGACAGTTTCTTAAAGGTACACAGGCTGTGGAGTGGCAAAAATGCAGAGCGACAGGGGAAGTATGCTCCTTACCCCCCTTGACATAGTTTTGCGAATTATTCTTCTCTTAAGCAAACTGGTACCCACAAAGTAACGACTGGTAAAGATGGGCAAAAACACTTGGTAACTTCTCACACATGACACATTTGTATATATTAGCTTCAGCACTTTCACAGAAATCCTATCACGTGAACCAAGGTTAAAAAGATAGATCTATGAATAGAATTCATCCACAAATGGAACCACTTGTACATTCTTTTGCCAGAAGTAAAACATATTTACAAAAGATATACAACATTTGCAAGATACTTATATATGCACCAAACAGATAAGACCCAATATTCAAGCCATATTTGAAAATTAATCCAAATTCATTGCAAAGATACACTCATCAGTTTAATATTTTTTAAAAAGCTCATCAGTCTTAAAAAAAGTAGAAGGGCTTTAGAGCTGATTAGTATGATGAAAGTCACTATTAAATTCTCCAGTATATAAACAAATAGCTCATGAAGTCTTTATACCCAAAGATATCACACACTGCCTGTAAGTAATACTTAATTTTATCAGTACAATTCCCTCTGAAAATAAACATGGGTATTCCATTTATATCACTGGCTTTATCCTCTAATGCTGTGTTTTAGAAGTAAGCCTGGTTTCTCAAATCAAATTTTCATAACCTCAGTAGTGGGAGCCTTAAAATCATTTTGTTAGGTTTGATGATGTGCCAGTGTAGGGCATGGGAGGGGATTCAATCATCAACTACAGAGACAGTGAGCTTTTATCAACACATTCGAGTCAATGCTGAACCTGGTGCGCTACTGCAGAGCAATTGAGTGTTTTCCCCACAGGCTGTAACTGATTATTGACTCCCCCCCATTAGCATGCAGGGTGCATACTGAAGGTTCAAATAGAAGACTGAGGGACTCCTATCCCAAGGCCAGTGCTGAAAGACAGCCTATCACTTTGTGTAACTGCAGTCTATGTGTGACAAACCTGACCTACATTTTTCCCTTTCTTTCTCACAAGAGCTTGTCAGTGTTTTAAGAAGCTATTTTCTAAAACACATAAAAGAAATGACTTTTAAAACTGCTTAGGAAAGGTGCATTCCTAAAATACCATTTATATCAATCTTATAAAGAATAGTTTATTCAGGAGACAATCATGAAACCTAGCCTAAAACAAGCTGAAAGACAGCAGAGTGCTTTATGATGTTATCCCCTATTGTACCCTCCTTTTGATGGTCATTTATATAGTACACATTGTTAAAAATGCCACAATTAAAATTTGAATCAGTACATAATTAAATTTAACAGTAAGAAGTTATCAAACATATTAATTAGAAATGTGTAATTAAACATTTTTCATTAGTTAGAAAAAGTAGCTTTCATGGCTTCCTAAGAAGCCACATCCTAGTAGTTTTGTTAACTTCTCAATGGATACACAATAATGACTGCTAAGAGAAAGACCTAGTTAAAAACAGTGATGGAGGGGGAGAGTAAAGAAGGCAATAATAACTTGGTATGAAGGCTGGAAAATGCTCCCCAGGAAAGGTTGCAGACTGCGCTTCAAAGAGTTGCCGGTATACTGTGGCTCCTCACCCTAAGTACCCACCATGCCGCTGCAGGTCATACTCTTTTTTTGTCTCTTCATTCCCTAGAATTTTCCATGCCTGATCAATTTCGATGAACTTCTGTATACATTCCTCCACTGTTCCTGCTGGCACATCTGCACTTTGTTTATCTGGATGATACTGCCAATCAAAAATAAAGGGGGTGGTGAATAGAGAGGGTTGATGGGGTAGGTTAAAAACAAAAACAAAACAAAACAAAAAAACCCAAAACTTGTAAATCTAAGTTTTAGTTAAGAAAGAAGGTGATGAGAAGATGAAAACTACGGTGCCAAGGCAATGAGACAACAGTGTTGGGCACAGGAGACAACTGCCAGGTTAATTAGACCACTGGAGTAGCTATAAATCCACCAGTGACATGATCTGTCACAACATGCAAAGACAGCATTTTCTGGATAATTTGCTGATGGAATCACTGGTCTCATGGACAATTTACCTAGAGAGGATGACTAACACAAACTGAAATAGGTACGTGCAGACGAGCAGGACACGACAAAGAAAGGGCACAAACTATGCAGAGTATGAAGCTTTCCTTATATAAGGTGCTTGGCTGTAAAAACCATTACAAATGAACTACTAGCTTTTTCTTATGAAAGCAGATTATACAATCATATTTGAAAATAAATACCTTTCACCTTCCAGTTCAGCCCTGAAGATTTTAAAGTTACAAATCCCCAAACATAAATTTTTGTTGAAAAATAGTTATTCTAGGGCAGATGGGTAAGAAACAACTGTTTTTGTTTTAAAGATTTCAGAGAGAGAATGTGTGCGCGCACACACGCACACACGCACACACATGCTCGCGCGCGAGAAGGGGGAGGGCCAGAGGCAGAGGGAGAGAGAGAGAACCTCAAGCAGACTCCCGGCCCAGCACAGAACCCCACGAGACTCGATCTCATGACCCTGAGATCATGACCTGAGCCAAAACCAAGAGTCAGACGCTCAACCAAATGAGCCACCCAGGCGCCCTGGTGAGCAACAACTTTAAAGAACTCAACAAAACATTTGGATATAAGTTAATTCATTAGTAAATCTTTCTCACTTGTGTTTTCCAAATCTAAGAAATTTTTAAAAATGTTTTCAATATGCAGTAGTTTGTTTAAAGTATTTGGTCAAAACAAGAACATTTTCTACCAATTCATCGATTCTCAAATGCTAATGTAAATGTGGCTTACTAGATATCCCACTTATATTATCTCCTTTTCCCCCTATATTCTCCGTGGTTCTTCCTTCTCTTTTTATTTATTGGTTCTGAAAGAATCAATGTCATTTGCATTTCAGCAGTCTTTCAAAAAATAAGCGAGAAAAGGTTATCTAAATGTAGAGACATTTCACTTAAATAATGTAGGGATCATAGTAGCAGATATTCAAATGTGTCATTTTTTCACTCTCAAGTAAACAAGGAACCACTTGATAGTATTCAACGAGAATTTGCCACCAGTAATTACTCTGAATGCTTTATCAAATATGTTACAGAACATACCTAATTTTAAAAGTTACCTTAGGAATTTCCTTTGAACTAGTAGACTAGTTTTCCTCCTTTAGTTCTTGTCCTTTTTCTTCAAAGTTTTTATACTAAAACAGGCAAAAAAAAAAAAAAACCCCACCATTTTTACATTTCATGACATTAATATGGTTCACTCACATACTCATCAATTAATAATGGCATAACCACTTAAATTCTTTCATTGACTATTTTACAGACATTGAAAGAACACAAAAAATTGAAAAGTGCAACATCATGTATTATCCAAGTTGCTAAGGCCACAGTCACTCAGTGAATTGTGGCAAGTAACACAAAGTAAAGTGACTTCAATCCTCAATCCAGAATTCAGAAAATATGTAAATTTTAAATCATAATGTAGACTACTGGTTTTGACAGTGAATTTGTTTTCATGCTGAACTTTTTCACACTGCTGATGATTCTCGCTAGCAGAGCAAAAACTATTGTGTTATCTGGTTGCACAGAAGAACATCATGCATGCTGAGAGAAAGATTATAGGGCAAACAAAGAATTAGGCTTCCATTTTCCCTCTAGCAAACTATTTCTCTTCCTATGCCAAATTTTCCTATGCCAAATTTAACAGTTATCAACATTTAAATATTTAAGCTAATTAATATAATGACTAAAGAAAAGAAAACTAAGGCTTTACTATTTCATCTTTTTATGGTCATGATTTATCAAATGATGCTCATAAAAATCATTCCCATACTGAGGTCTAGGCAGTCCCTACATTTGGGCTAATATTTAAGTAACATTCCCACACCAAAAAAGACTTTGCTACATTAAAGTTCTCTAGCTTACCCATTCTTCTAACACTATGTGAAGAAGATTTCTGTAACAAGCCTTACCAAGAAAGCCTTACAAAATCAAGAATTAGTTTGTGGCCACCCAAAACTAAAAGCTATCACTAAATTTTACTGAGTAATAGATCAGTTCTACGATAGTTCGAGCATAATTCCATTTCTTACTAACTTTTTCTTTTCCTGACAGCTATTTTAAATAAGCAACTCACTATCTGAGGCTTTTAGGTCTAATCTGTTGTGCTATTATTAGAATGCAATAAATTTTATTCTATGATACAGAGTCCAATTAAGAAATGGCAATTATTAGCAAGAAAATAAATATGTCATTTAGGGTGCTAAAAGCCTCAGTCCAATCTGTTTTGACAGCAAGTTGAAGAACAAAATGAAGGTCTAAAAGAGAATAACACATTCTGTGGTAGGCTGAAAATGGCACCTAAAGGTATCAGGTCCTAATCTCTGGTACCTGTAAAATGTTACCTTATTAGGAAAAAGGATCTTGGAAGATACAACTTGAAGATCTTTAAATGGAGAGTACTCTGAATTACAAAAGTGGGCCCTAAATTCAATCAAAGTATTCTTATAAGAAAGAGGCAGAGGGAGATTTGACACACAGAGGAGAAGACGGTATGAAGACCATTCAGAGAGATAGAGAGGGATTTGAAATAATGGTATCAAAGATTGGGAGTGATGAGTCCATAAGCCAGGGAATACTGGCAGCCACCAGCAGCTAGAAGAGACAAGGAATGTACTCCTACCCCTAGAGCCTTGACTTTGGTTCAGTTATACTGATTTTGAATTTCTAGACTCCAGAATTGTGGAAGAATACAGTTCTGTTGTTTTAAGCCACCACGTTTGCAGTAATTTATTTTGGCAGCTACAAAAAATCATACACTGTGTAAATATGTCTATGGTTTATATGGAAATACAAAGGATCTAGAACAAGCAAAAGAATCTTAGAACAAAGCTGAAGCTACGGTAATCAAGACTGTAGTACTGGCATAAATATATCTAAATATATCAGTAGAACATATAGATAGATATACAGATACAGACATAGATATGTATAGTCAATTGATTTTCAGCAAAGGTGTCAATGTAATTCAATAAACTGAACTGAAACAACTAGATGCCATGTGGAAAAATTAACCTCGATTCCTATCTCATTTGATACACAAGAATTAACACAAGATGAATGAGTCATAGACATAAATGTAAAACACAGAACCTAAAGCTTCTAGAAGGAAATACAAGAGAATATCTTTGCCCCTTGGGGTAGGCAAAGACTGCTTTTGACAGAAAACAAAAGGCCCAAACAATAATGACACAAAATGGATAAACTGAACATCAAAGTTTTAAAACTTTCTGCTCAGCAAAGACACCATTAAGAAAATAGACAAGCCACAGACTGGTTAAAAAAAAACAACAACAAAAAACTGACTAAATATGTACCTAACAAAGCACTTGCATCTAGAACATACAATTGGGGAGCCCAGGTGGCTCAGTCGGTTAAGTGTCTGCCTTCGCTTAGGTCATGATCCCAGGGTCCTGGGATGGAGCCCCTGCATCAGGATTCCTGCTCAGTGGGAAGCCTGCCTCTCCCTCCGCCCCTGCCCTTGCTCGAGCTTTCTCTCTCTCAAAATAAATAAAATCCTTAAAAAAGAAATAGAACATACAACAACAAAATCCTACAAATCGATGGTAAAAAGACATACTAATTAAAAATCAGGGGGAAAAACACTTTTCAAAGAAGATAGATGAACCGACTATGCGCACATGAACTTGCATGCAAACTTTTTCATTAGTTAACAGGAAAATGTACATTAAAATTATGACATATCACTAACTACCTAATAGAATGGCTAAAATAAAAAAGACATAACACTAAATGTTGGTGAAGATACGGAATAACTGGAACTCAAATGTGGTTCTGGGAGGAAACTATTTGACAATTACTCATAAAGACACACCTATAACCTATTCTGTGATCAAATAATTTTGGATATTTACTTTTGGATATTAAGAGAAATGAAACAAACATATGCTCACTAAAAGACTTACAAAACAATGTACTCACAGCCTTATTTGCAATAGTCAAAAACTGGAACCATAAAGTCTATCAACAGGAGAATGGATAAACGGTAGTATGTCCATACATAAGGAATTCTATTCAACAATAAAAAAGAAAAATCTATGATATACTCAGTGACATAGATGAATATCTAAAATGTTACACTGGACAAGAACAAAAGGGTACATACTATTTGATTGCATTGATATGAAATTTAAATGCAGGCAAATCTATAGTGATAGAAATTAAAAGTTGGTTTCCAGGTGAGAATAGGGGGTGGAAATTAACTGCAAAGGGGCACAGGAAATTTTCTGGAGAAACAGAAACGTTCTATATTTTGTTTGGGATGGTGGTTATATGGTATCAAATCTCACCAAACTGAACACGTAAGAGCTGTGCATTTTTCACTGTATGTTGACTGCATCTCAATAAACATCTTTAGACATGTCTAAAATTATTGATTTAGAAAACCTTTCCAAGACATAAAGAAAAAAAATGAGAAATTTCTTCCAATATTAAGAGAAAAATACAATTAAACCATAGAAAATTAATGCAAAGACTAATACAAATTAGTGAAAGTTTAAATTACAGACATAAAAATATAGTTTTATTACTTCCAAGTACATACGCCAACCTCCAAAAACTTTGAAACATTTTAAAAAGTTAAGTATTGCTGAGGACTACAGTACACTGAATTAAAATATCATAAATATGTCACAATACTAAAAATACTGAGAGTGAGTGTCTC